GAAGGGTATCATGATCGGTAAAGTAGAAGGTCAGTGAAGAGGAAGACCCTTAATTAGATGGATTGACACAGTGGGTACAACAGTGGCCTCAAACATAGCAAGGACTGTAAGGATGGAACAGAACTGGGCAGTGTTTTGTTCTGTTGTGCACAGGGTTGTTATGATTCAGAACTGACTCAATGGCACTTAACAACAAGGTACATATATACTGGCAAAGATCTATGTGGGGCAAGGAATTCTGGTTAACAGTACATTGCTGCTGACCTTTATGGTAAATGTGTCCACCTTGACTTTGGTAGTTAAGTGCTTGGCCCCGGCACTCCAGGATCCCATCATCCCCACTGAAATCACAGAGCTCAACTCAGTGACAATATCCCCCATGGTCATATATGGCCTACAAAGAAGACCAATTACAGAGATTTTGAAGGATGTGAGTGCTTCCTTCATTAACATATTTCTTAAAGTCTTAGTAAAAGGAGTGTTTTGTGGACCGCCTCATGGAGTCTACTAACAAGAGCACCGGTGATAGATATGCAAGTTGCCAATTATAAATCCACTCCAACATTCCTATCCCCCTAAATCTCTGGATTCGCTCTTCCACATCACATTAGGGAAGCTCTGGCATCTCCACTTCATTAAACTTAGGCTACTGTTGAGTTCATGTTTCAGTTAACCAACAAAATAAACTATTAGAGTCACATCCAGCTGCATAGGCTAACATATTTAAGACCAGAATTCCTAGTAAGTGCATCCATGTCAATAAATTCTACCCAATCCAGTGTTATAGTCCACCTTCAATAGCCTAACACTTAGAATCCATTCCCATGCATTTCCCTGGTTTCTGCCAATATATATTAACAACATCTTGCATTTTTTTTGTGCATAAGCTATTAATTGTGTGCCTTATATGCATGTGAAAGCTGGACAATGAATAACGAAGACCTAAGAAGAACTGACTGGCCTTTGAATTGTGCTGCTAGCAAAGAATATGGAAAATATCATGGGCTGCCAAAATAACAAATTGCCAAAAGATCTGTCCTGGAAGAGGTGCAGCCAGAATGCTCCTTAGAAGTGAGAATGACCAAACTTCGTCTCACCTACTTTAGTCATGTTTTCAGAAAGGACCATTTCCTAGAGAAGAATATTATGCTTGGTAAAGTAGAGGGTCAACAAAAACGGGGAAGACCCTCAATAAGATGGATTGACACAGTGGCTGCAATGATGGGCTCAAGTACAGCAAGGATTGTGAGGATGGGGCATGACCAGGCTTTTGTACATAGGGTCACTATGAATCGCAGCTGACTCGATGGCACCTAACAACACAGTCCTCCTGGAAAATGCAGAGATTTGACCCTAATTATGGGCCCAGTAGCAATGGGAGTGGTTGTACTGGGTCCTAAGAATGAACATCCCTTTTCAAGACATCTGCCAGATGAAGTGATAACAGGATTTTGAGGCAAAAGACAACCAGTTTCCTCAGATAAAGGTGGGCAAGCTACTTCCATGAGCCTCAGGAGGCTCAGAGTGACTTGGGGCTCAAGACTGTAGTTTCACCTGAGTCCAACCATGTTCTCATTTCAAGTTTCAGGGCCCCATTCTTTCCCAATGAATGACCTAACTTGTACATTAAAAATTTAGCAAGACTATGAATGCAAATGCAATCCTGACTGGAACATCATTAAAAACATGAATAAGAAAAGGAGGCCCCATTATCACTACTACTATTCAGTATTACATTGAATTGATGTTGTAGCTACTCAATAAGCCAAGAAATGAAAACAGACATATAAATAATGGAAATGAAAATATAAAATCGTTATTTTTGTAGTCAGTATGATTTTCTATCTAGAAAATCTAAATAAATCAACTGACAAACCATTAGAACTCATATGAGAGTACATATGAATCTAGATCAATGTACAAAAATGAACAGCCTTAATACACCATACACTTAAAGACATGTCCAAGAATGTTTACTACTGAATTGTTATAATGGCAAAAATTTGGAAAAAACCTAAATGTACACTGATAGAATGGTTAACTACATTTTTGGTATATTCCCACTATGAAATATTATACAACCATTGCACAGATGTAGACAACCTTAAAAAAAAAAAAAGTAAATTAAAAAACAAAAGAGAGTCTGCAATAATATTATCATATGATCCCATTTATGTAAAAACAAATAAATAATATAAATATGTATGTTTTTAAGTACATATGTTGTTGTTAGTTAGGGGCTATTACAGTGTTCCCATGTGACAGAGTGGAACTGCCCCACAGGGTTTTCTAAGCTGCAATCGTTATGGCAGCAGATCACCAGGTCTTTCTCCCATGCAGCTGCTGGGTAAGTTAGCCATGCGCCTAACCATTTGCCATTTTGCACCATCAGGGCTCCTTTAGGTATATATATACATGTATGTAACCGAAAATAAAAAGATGTGGAAGAAAACTCATAAAACTGTTAAAAAATATTTACCTTTGGAAAGGGAGGTAGTTAAGGAGACTTTCACATTTTATATATATATATATATCAGAAACCCAAGGAGGGGTCGCTATGAGTCGGGGCCGACTCGATGGCAAATAACAACAACAACAACAAATATATTTCTATACTGTTGAAATTTTTCATTAAAAAAGTATTTATGTATTGCTTGTATAATTGGGCTGACCAAAAACAAAAACAAAACAAAAAAGGAGCTGTGGTGGTATAGTGCCTAAGGGATTTGACTGCTAACCAAAAGGCTGGCGGTTCAAACCCACCAGTCACTCCTTGGAAGGAAGGTTGAGCAATCTACTTCCGTAGTGATACCACCTGGGAAACCCAAGGAGCAGTCGCTATGAGTTGGACTGGCTCGAATGCAATGAGTAAAGAGTTTGTCACCTGAGTGCGAGAAAACACCTTTCTCAGAGACCTCAGCTTATTTGAAAGCTTACTCAAGGACAGTTGTGACTTAAGACCATGACAACAAACTCTTCTCCATCCATCATCTATTTATCACTTGTTTTATTGACCAACTCATCTGATTGTTACTGATTACCTGCTATACATCGAACATCTGAAACAGATGGCATGACACACAATTCCTACAGTGCAGGGGAGCAGGTCACTGATTCTAATATCCTACCAGATTATTTTTTTCAGTAAAGCCTTGTAAAATAGCATCTAGAAATCCTCCCCACAAATTTGAAATTGTTTACTAGAAATTTTTATTCACTACTCCTAAAGGCGGGAGCTCTGGTAGCATAGTGGCTCAGGCACTTGACTGCTAACCAGAAGGCTGGCAGTGCAAATCCACCAGCCACTCCTCAGAAGGAAGATGGGGCAATCTACTTCTGTAGTGATACTGCCTCGGAAACTCAAGGAGGGGTCGCTATGAGTCGGGTCCGACTCGACAGCACATAACAACAACAACATTCCTAAAGGCAGTCTGTATTATAAGTAAGCTAGAAAATTTCTCCTTATTCATCCAACAGGATTATTTGGAAAAGCTCTCTAGCTGGACTTAGACATATTTCTAATCTTAGATATATGACAGATCCAGTTTGGTTTGTTATTAGTATTAAAAATGTTAATTAAAACCATTTCAGTCACATGTAACTCATACAAGAGGACATAAATACATTTATGGGAAAATGTTCACTTCTATTAGTAAGCAAAGAAATGTAAAATAAAACAGCTTATTAAATTAGCAGAATTAAAAAAAATATTTTAAATGACCAGAGCTGGTAAGGATACAGTGAAATTACTGCCTGAACACATTGCTGATGGCAGGGTACATTAGAAACTATTAGCAACATTTCTCAAGAGTCACAAAATACCAGTCTCTCTGACATACTAATCTCATGCTTGAGATTTATTCTTAGTAAATGACTGCAATGAAGGAAAACAGTTATTTGGACAAAGCTTCCATTATGGCATTATTTATAATAATGAAACTCTGGAAACGATCAAAATATTCAGAGAAAAGGAATATCACATAAAAATATTCCATAACCAGTCAATGGAATATTATACAACTATTTCAGATTATTTAATGAAGAGATTGTGATAACATGAGTGATGAAGCAATAGGGGGATTTAAAAAAAAAACAAAAAACAAAAACTTCCCTCAGCTGAGAATATATTGGTTTTAGTATAAAAAGCAGTAATTTTTATTTTAAAATCATGATTATGAAGTGTGGTAGTTCAGTTTGTGTGTCAACTTGGCTGGGCCTGGTTGAATGGTTGGGCAGATGGATGTAGTATTCCCCATGATCAGACTGGCAATCAACTCCATGGTGGAATCTACTGTGAGCAGCTGAGTAGCTGCCTTTAGGTATGTGGTCTGTTTCCCACATATAAGCAGCAGCTTTGGGAATGGTCTCTAGCCTATGGCATGCTTGGACCCTGCATGTAGCCGTGTCACTGTTCAGCAGCCTGCTATGCTCCGTCGATCTTGGGACTTACGATGGACCTAAATTAATGGCCTTCCATGTGGTTTGGTAACATCAGGACTATGCCTTTTTACTTGTCAACCTTGGGCTTCACAGCCTCAGCAGCCAGCAGCTGTCTGAGTGAAGAAACGCCTCTAGCTCCAGTGGGCCGGGAGCAGGAGCCAGAGCTGGACCCCAAGGTTGAGGGGCTTTCACCCAGCCCCTAGAGCCAGGCACTTTGAACTTGGCCTTAAAGCCTCCAAATTGTAAGAGAATAAACTCCTGTTTGTTTAAGCCATCCCATTTGTGGTATATTTTTTGTCAGAGCAGCACTAGGTAACCAGAACATGAAGCAACCATTTCTGATAGAATGTTAACTTTTAAAGGCAAAACATAGAATTTTACCTGCATTCAAATTACAGCTATATAAAATACTTATTCAGATGGATAAATTTCAAAGAAAACATGGGCTACAGTTCATGCTTTAGGCTGGTAGGTGTGTAGTTTATTTTTCTTTCTTTAAAAAAAATTTTTTTTGAGGGGGTGGTATTTTATAAGTTAGGAGATAAGTTTTGGTGACCTACCTGTTGCTCCTTTTTAAGGAATGTTTCAATCTCAGTATGAATCCGGTTCTCTTCTTCTGTTTTCATCCTTATCTTCTGTAAGAATAACAAACAAATATCAAGAGTTCTTCCTGGCTGGGTTGAGGATCAGAAGTCCTCAAGATAAAAAGGTATAGCTGTGACACTGCACAGGTTTCGCCAGCTGGGCTCCCAGAAATTTCCACACTATTGCTCCAGAGCTCCGGGTCAGTTCGCTTCAGATCAATTCGTGTTAACCAACATTGCTGAGCCATGTGTGTGGCACTGTGCTGGATACAAGCAAGTCCCCTGTTCCCTGGAAAGTGATGTCAATTTAAGGAAAGAAACAAGCTTCAAGAGGACAAGGTTCTTAGGCCTAGAAAAGGAAAACTCCAGAGTGCAAGGAAAAAAAAATTGTCATCATGGTCTGAAGCCATACCTGGGGAATAAGTTTTCAAATAAGCAGAAGTCTCTGAGAAAGGAGTCCTCCTGCACAAAGGTGACACACTTTCTAATGATGTTTACTCTTGACCATCCTCATCTGCCTGATATTCTTTTAGACATTTAGCCTACCTCCTCTAATGTTTCCTTCTCCTTATGGTTTTCATTGTGACTTCTCATCTGTATAATTTTAAATTTGATTGAAATTCAGTCCTCTACAATTTTTTTTTTCAAATTGTGGTCGAAATATGCATAACAAAACACGCCATTTCAACAATTCCTACAAGTACAATTGAGTGACACTGATTACATTCTTCAAGTTGTACAACCATCCTTGGTATCCTTCCCCACATCATTTCAGCACCATCAATATGAACTCAAATGCCCTCTAAGCAAAACAGGCCTCTAAAGTTTATGTTTCTAACTGGAGGAATAAAAAGTACTAGTTGGGTGAGCAAGGAACAGTGAAAACCTGAAGTTACCAATTGTCTTGTTTTGCTCTCTCCCTATAATTACCAGGAGGAATGTCTAGTGGTTTTACAAAATAAGGATAAAGTGACAAAGGAGAGAAAGTACAACCAATTTCCAAAGTCATTACAAGAGAAGCAGAAGATGGAGGCTACTGCTAACTCATCAGAATCTCTGCTGCCACATATGCAAGTCCTCAGTCGGTCTTATTTTTAATCACAAGTATTGGAGCTCAGGGAGAGTGAGAACAAAGATAGGAAAATCTCCCTCTTCCTCGTCCCTCATTAGCTGAGCCAATCTCAGGAGTGACAGTTCAAGTCCCACCTACCTAGTTCTTTCCTAACATAGCAATAATTACCTCAATCTCATCCAGCAGAAGTTCTTCTGCTTTGTTGCATTTTTTAAGGGTCTGAGCAATCTGCAGCTCAGTGTTTTTCTTCATATAGTGACTCTCCATGTTGGTTTTTGCCTTCATCTCTTGCAACTGGTCCTTGAGGTGAGCAATATATTCATTCCGATTCTGTGGAGGAAAGACCAGATTTCTAAATTTAGAAATACACTCTGTCTTCTTTCAGTTCAAGGAGCTCTGGTGGCATAGTAGGTAAGCCACTTGGCTGCTAACCAGAAGGTCAGTGATTCAAACCTACTAGCCTCTGCGTGGGAAGAACGTGAGGCAATCTACTTCTATAAAGACTTATAGCCCTGGAAACACAAAGGGGGTAACTGTGAGTCAGAACTGACTCAGTGGCAGTGGTTCCCCGCCCCACCCCCCACCGCCTTTCAATTCAGGCAGTGGGCTTAAACTCACTTATTGTATTTCAAAATCAACAAGGAACAGGATCTCTTTTTCTGCCCTCTGAAAACGTAGCACATCATCACACTACAGAAAATTTAGCCAATGATTATGGGTGGTATAAATTAAAATGAAAGATAATATAGTAGTTCTAAGGAACAGGACTGTGAGATTCTTTTCCTAGGCACAAAGTTTGAGTTCTCTGCATCCACCCAGACTTCCAACTCAAACCCCACCAGCTGTATGATTTGGCCGAGCCACTTAACCTTCCCAAGTCTTTTCCTCTATAAAACAGAAATATGAATATCTACTTTGCCTGAAACATCTCAGAGAATGATTATAAGGACAGAGAATATGTATAAAAACTCTTTGAAAGGTACAAAGTGCTCTACAACTTTAAAGTCTCAATATTCATTAGAGAAATATTTATTCACTACCAGGCATTGAGCTAGGCATTAGGTAAACAGTGAAAATAGAAAGAGACATGGTCCCCAACCTCAGGGAGCTTACAGTCTACTGGAAGAACTGTGGTTAAAAGGAAACAACGATATGTAAAACTTTTTTCTTTTTCTGGAATTAGGGAAACTCTATTGAGGTTTTCCCATACTAATATTTCCTCACACTATGATGACCATTCCCAACCCTCTTCCTAGTTGCGAGAGAAGGGAAGGATAAGCACAGGGAATGAGGATTACCCAAACAGGTAGACTACGAATATACTGATGCCACTTTCAAAGTCAACATACCAAAAAATAAATTTTGGAAAGAATTTCACATTTAAAAATGAGGTAGACATCAAGAAAAAATTGGAATTTTTAAATTTCCTTAGACATATTTTACTACTAAGCATAGTACTTATTAAGAATTATGTTCAGAGGATGGCTGAATAGGACACACTCTGTTCTGGATAGCAGTAATGATAAAATAAGTAATAGGGGAAAAAAAGAAGGACCACACACAAAATTAAATATTTATAGTATTTCTTACATCCTATGAGACTTCACTCCAGCCATTTAACAGTTTGAACATTTATCATATTGTTAAAAAACAATATGGGTTTGGGAGGAAATAACAAGGGAGACTTGTGTTAGTTTGAATGAATACTCTGAGAAACCCAAAAAACCAAATCCATTGCCTTCAAGTTGACTACAATTCATAGTTCCACCCTGTGGGACAAAGCAGGACTGGCTCCAAGGGTTTTCAAGGCTATAATCTTTACTTAAGCACATGCCACATCGTCCTCCCACTGAGTGGTTGGTGGGCTCCAACTCCTGACTTTTATGGTTAGCATCGGAGTGCTTAACCACTGCACTGCCAGAGATCCTTAGGATACTCTGAGAAAGGGATGTTTAAACTGAGACCTGAAGGGTAAGTCAGTCATGTGAAGAGTGAGGTCAAAGGGAATTCCAAGAAAAGGGAAAAGGGTGTGCTGAATTCATGAGGCAGCAATGACCTAGAAACATTCTGAGAATTGAACAAAAACTGTGGAGGCACTAGCCTAGTGAGTGTGAAGAGTGGACAAGACGAGGTTGTGGCATTGCTAGAGATGTTGTCACCCAGTACGGTAACTCATGCCGTCACTTTCCCCAGGGACTTCCTCCTGTATCAGACCATACAGAATCCTTATTAATGTTTATTATCAATTTTAATGATAGAATAATATGAGATAAATATAGTTATAAATTGCTGAAATGTAATATTTCTTAGATTATATGAATATAAACAAATTGTATTGTAAATTCTTTCTGCATTGAATTACAATATTATTAGTTACAACATTACTAGTAACTGAGCAGAAGCCTTTCTTGATTTTTTTCCATTTTCTACAATTACAACTTCATTCTCAAAAATGTTATTGATACAGGTTCACAATAAAACATTAGAAAATTTGACAAAATCAGCAAAAACACCAATAGCAATGAAAACAACAGTGTGTGCTTGTAGCACATATAGAAGAAACCACATGACTCAAAGCATTCAATTTACAATCATTGTAATTGCGTAATAATGACAGCTCAGACCAGAGTGAAATAAAAGGCTCAAAAAGAAAATTAGCATACAGTTTTAGCTTGTAGGTATATTGGTAGATGTAAACTGGGCTTAAGAGAAATGTTTTTGTTGTTATAATTGGAAGAGTTGCATCAGCAAATGAAGGGCTGAAAGCTTTACTCTAGCCACATCTTTACAGTAGAGCCAACCTTAATGAGGTGGCTAGAGTAAAGCTTTCAGCCCTTTATTTGCTGATGTGGCATGACTCAAAATAAGCAGAAACAGCTGCAAACATCCATTAATGATTGAAATGTGGAATCCTCGAACTATGAATGTAGGAAAATTGGAAGTCAACAAAAATGAAATGGAATGTTTGAAGATAGATATCCTAAATATTAGTGAGCTGAAATGGACTGGTAATGGCCATTCTGAATTGCACAATCATATGGTCTACAATGCTGGGAATGATAAGTTGAAGAGGAACAGGATCATTCATATTCATTGTCAAAAAGAACATTTCAAGTTCTATCCTGAAGTACAGCACTGTCAATTACAGGACAATATCCATATGCCTACAAGAAAGACCAGTTAAAGTGACTATTATTCAAATTTGTGCACCAATCATGAATGCCAAAGATGAAAAAATTGAAGATTTTCACCAGCTTCTGAAGTCTGAATAGATCAAACATGCACTCAAGATGCACTGATAATTACTGGTGATTGGAATCTGAAAGTTGGAAACACAGAAGTTGGAAAATATGGCTTTGGTGATAGAAATGATGCTGGAGATTGCATGATAAAATTTTGCAAGATCAAAGCTTATTCACTGGAAATATCTTTTTTTCAACAACATAAACAGTAACTATACATGTGGACCTCACCAGATAGAATACACTGGAATCAAAATCAGCTACATCTGAGGAAAGAAACAATAGAGAAGCTAAGTATCATTCGTCAGAATAAGGCCAGGGTATGACTGCAGAACAGACCATCAATTGCTTATATGCAAGTTCAAGCTGAAGCTGAAGAAAATTAAAACAAGTCCACAAGAGCCAAAGGGCAACCTCCAGTATATCTAACCTGAAATTATAGACCAACTCAAGAATGCATTTGATGCACTGAACACTAATGACTGAAAAACAGAAAAGCTGTGGGATGACATTGAGGATATTATACATGAAGAAAGCAAAATATCATTAAAAAGACAGGAAATGAAGAGAATACCAAAATGGATGTCAGAAGAGACTCTGAAACTTGTTCTTAAATGTAGAGTGGTTAAAGCGAATGAAGAAATGATGAAGTAAAAGAGATGAAGATTTTAAAGGACAGTTCAAGAGGACAAAGTAAAGTATTATAATGAAATGTGCAAAGACCTGGAGTTAGAAAACCGAACATAAAGAACATACTCAGCATTTCTCAAGCTGAAAGAACTGAAGAAAAAAATTCAAGCCTTGAGTTTCAAAACTGAAGGATTCCACGGGTAAAATATTAAACAATGCAGGAAATCTTAAAAGAAAATGGAAGGAATACAAAGAATCACGGTACTAAAAAGAATCGGTTGACGTTCAAACACTTCAGGAGGTAGCATATGATCAAGCACCTATGGTATTGAGGGAAGAAGTCCAAGCTGCAGTGAAGGCAAGACTCCAGATGAAATAGCCACAAGATGTTTCAACAAACGGAGGCAATGGTAGAGGCACTCAATCATCTATGCCAAGAAGTATGGAAGACAACTACTTGGCCAAACAACTGGAAGAGATCCATATTTATGCCCATTCCAAAGAAAGGTGATCCAACAGAATGAAGAAATCCTTGAACAATATCATTAATATCACACACAAGTAAATTTTTGCTGAAGATCATTCCAAACACAGTTGCAGCAGTACATCAACAGAGAACAGAAATTTAATCCAGAATCAGAACAGAATGTGCAATGTGAGACATCATTACTGATGTCAGATGGATCTGGGCTGAAAGCAGAGAATGAATACCAGAAATATGTTTATCTGTGTTTTATTGACTACACAAAGGCATTTGACTGTGTGGATCTTAACAAATTATGGATAACGCGGCAAAGAATGGGAATTTCAGAACCTTAATTGTGTTCATGTGGAACCTGTACATAGACCAAGAGACAGTCAGGGTGGTATCCTTTCACCATACTTATTCACTCCTTATGCTGAGCAAATAATCTGACAAGATGGACTATATGAAGGACACAGCATCAAGATCATCATTAACAACCTGAGATATGCAAATGACACAATTTTGCTTGCTGAAAGTATAAAAGATTGAAGCACTTACTGATGAAGATCAAAGACTGCAGCCTTCACTATGGATTACACCATGTTGTTGTTGTTAAGTGCCATCAAGTCAGCTCCAACTCACAGCAACCCTACATATAACATAACAAAACACTGCCTGGTCCTGCACCATCCTCACAATCCTTGCTATTTCTGAGCCCATCATTGCAGTCACTGTGTCCATCCATGTCATTGAGGGTCTTTGTGGATCCAAGTAAAATGAAATCCCTGACAACTTCAATCTTTTCTCCTTTTATCATGATGTTGCTTATTGGGCCAGTTGTGAAGATCTTCTTTTTCTTTATGTTGAGGTGTAATCCATATTGAAGACTGTAGTCTTTGATCTTCATCAGTAAGTGCTTCAAATCATCTTCACTTTCAGCAAGCAAGGTTGTGTCATCTGTATTATCACAGGTTGTTTATGAGTCTTCCCCT